GCTCTATATACCCCCGCAGACAGTAGCTATTATACATTCTGCCCCTGCTATTACTTTTGCACCCAGTCTGTCTGCACCTCTGCGAGCTCACAGTTCACAGCTTTAACAGAGGAAATGGAACGGTTAGCCTTCAGTCAATGTTGGGTTGTCATTTAGCGTCTGTCTTCCTAGTTTTTATGGTGTGTCCCACACAGGTAGAACTACTCGGCCCTTGCTGGTTGTTTTTTCATTCAGCATGTTGGTTTGGCGTCACTCACTATGTTTACATGACACTTGAAAAAAAACGAATTATTGCCTTAATCCGACAATAACTGGACAACTGAAGTGCATGTAAACGCATTACTCCGACTAATATCGGAGTTCTCCAACTCCGATTAAGACACCCAGATAATGCGATTGGAATTCGATTTTCTCCGGCATGTATACGCCGTAATTGGAGTTAAACTAGACAATGCATGTGCGCATGCTCCACACCCCCCGCGCTGGCGTATGACCCCGGAACAGACAAGACATGCTATTGTTGTAGCCCTCCAACAGCATATGGCGTTCTTGTCTGCCTCTCCAAATCACCATGACCACGAGGGATAGCGTGCACCTTATCTGCACAATCAGTAACGCATACATTACATACGAGATGAACAAAGCTGTACGATTATCCATCTTGCTGTTGTTCGAAAATGCCGGTCTGCCGCCTGACTCCAGTTGTTTATTATTAAGTGATGTAATAGGTCAACCGGAAAGGGGGCCGTATTAACCCGCTCAAACGACGCATATCGCCACCTAGTGTTGAGGAGGAGGACACGTTCCCGTCAGTAATTCGATTTTCTCAGTTGCTTGTAAACTGGGACAAGGACAGAAGTCCGATTAGACGCCAAAATCGAATTTTGAGCATAGCCCGATTAAGCTGTGCATGTAAACGTACTGACAGTCAGAGGAGCCCACAGGTGAGAAAAATCACTCTGATCAGCAGTTCAGCTCAGTGTTCGGGAAGAGAGATGTAAGTGAGGAAGGTAAACAAAAGGTAAAAGTCGAGGGCATGAAATCGAATCAAACTTGTTATGTTAGGTGATTTTTTAAAACAATTGAGTTCTTCAGCAGAAACGGTTGGTAACTGTGTTATTATTTGCAAGCTCACGCTAAATATCATTGTTCTTTCAACATCAGGTTGTGTTGTTAATGTGCTACAGGCTAACTAGTGTCTTGAATTCACCCGGTCAGTCTGCTGGTTTCCCTTTTTGAGTAACGAATACAGAATACCGTCACCTGCTGCTGTGGAGAATTATTTCCTCTCACGCAGGTGCAAAATGTACGTGCTAGTTGGCCGTTGGCTGTAGTTTTTGCAGTGTGTTCAAATGCAACTTGGCCGAGACACAGGTGACCTGAGGGAATGCAACAGTTGGCCGCCCCACCACTAGTTCTCTGAAGTTGGTTTGATGTGTCTGGGCCTTTAGTTCTCAAGTTCTAAGTAACTGTCTTCATGACATAAATATTGTACAGCAGGTCAATCTTTTGATGCAAGCCGCTAATACAATAGTATTTTCAGTTGGTATTTATCTCTCTTAATCCACTCAAGTTCCACTAGCTTGCTCAGGTACATTAAATATTGTTCAAAACATTTATTAAGATGCCAGAGATTTTTGTCCAAAATGCTAATTGTTTTAAATTCAATGTAGCAATAAAAGCTGGTCCTTAAAGAGTGCCTATATGTCTTCTATATGAAATGAGTTATATCAGGAAAGAAAAAACACCAATCTTCTCTTTGAATCATGTAAACGTGTTGATTGAAATATTTCTGAAAGCTTATTGATTGTGCACCTGTAAACCTGCTCACTGACATGATTCATCTAACTGTTCACCAGACAAAATACATGTAACAGCTTCACAGTCTTTGTCTGATCCAGCTCGCTTTTTCAAGTGTAGCCTATTTAGCTTTTCACAGCTCTCTATCTCTCTGAATCTCTCTCTGAATCTCTCTCTCTCTCTCTCTCTCTCTCTCTCTCTCTCTCTCTCTCTCTCTCCCTTCACCCCTCTCTCCTTCTCTCAACACCTCTTTATCTCCTCTGTCTGTTTGTTCTCTGCCACACATTTACACGGCTTGCTCTCATTAAGAGACGGGTGAGAGGGGAGAGGAGGCAGAGAGAAAGAGAGACCCAGGAACAGAAACGTGGACTGAGGATGAAACATGCAGACGTAGAGAGGTTAGTAGGTCAAGACAGAGATGTAATTAAGATGTTTCACTAAATATCCAAATAATCAAATTAAGCCAGAGAAAAAAAGAGGCGAGAGTAGGAATGAAAAAGCAGAAATGTCTCATGAGACAGAAAAAAAAAATGTTCTTTGATCCACCCACACGTCTTAACAACAGTGGAGCCGATAACTCTCCAGAGAACGAGCAGGAGTCCTACTAAATTTTTCAAATGCATGAAAATGATTAGTGCTCATATCGCATGAATCATCAATCACTTTCAAAAAATAAAACCACAGCCTTCTGGTGTGCACGGGGATTCGTGCATACCTCTTCTGAGTTCTCACATACTTGCATAGCTCTCTAAAGTGGACAGGATATTACATCATGGCAAGAAAAATGTGCTCCTTAATGACAGTAGTTAGACTGAAAGAGAAGTCTGTAACTATAAAACGAGCGGCGGAGTAACGCAATAAAACACAATGGAGGTGCCAGCCAAGCGCATTCCTGAGGTCAGCTCCAATGCACTTTGAGACAGTAAAAGGGGATTTATCTTTAAATGCAGAAACAAACTGCAGTCGCTTAGGTCTTAATGGTCTTAAAATAACACAAGAAGTAAACAATAAACTAGAAAGACGTTATTTATGTGAAGCATGTTTGCTCTTTTTTCCTTCATTACCCTCTCAGAATACATCCAGTTATAAACACATTCTCATTATGATCAAATGACTCAGTAAACTTTGTAAACTGAAATAGTTTGGGTTGGGTTGTGGGCTGTTGTTTGGACTAAAAAAACTATTTGAAGTTGTGAGTTGAGCTCGCTAGATTAGATATAAAATACGATGGCTGCTTGCTCTGTTGTGGTTCAGCGGAAAAACAAGCGGGGCTAGCTGCTAACAGCTACCACTGCTACTAACAAACACCATAAATACATTCAACTCCTCCATCCACAGTCAGACACACACTGCTGCATATTTTCTGCCACAACTGTAGAATGGACATGCTCACAAGTTGCTTCTGGCTGCCGTTACTGCTGTGTGAGTGCTTTGCAGGCTAGCCAAACATCATGGCAGCAACTATTTACAGGTGTTTTCCAATCCGTTGGCGCTCTGAACTCTTACTGCTCATATATCATTAGGAAATAATTGCAAACATGGCTGTTCTCAGCTTTGTTGTTTTAAATAATTTCCTAATATGTTTTGATAAAAAAAAATATCATTTTGTTTTCCTCTCAATTTTATTCAAGTATGCTCTGAGTCCCAAATTCAAGTACTTTAAGCATCTCAAGCACCTTGTATGAACCCTGTAAATAAGAGGACAACTCTATATCCTAAATGAAAATTAATCTACAACAGTTTTGATAATCGTTTGAGTAATTAGGCTACCTTGAAAAAATGACAAACACTTGGGCAATCCAGCTTCACAAATGGAAAGGACTTGCAGCTTTTTTCCTTCTTTGTGAATCAAAAATGTTTAGGTTGTGGACTCTTGTTTGGATAAGACAACCAATTCAAAGACGTAACATTGGGCTCTGGGAAATTGTGGTTGTTATTTCTCACTATTTTCTGCCATTTTAAAGACTAAACAATTCATTACTTAAAGCTTAAAGATGACTATCACTTATTATGTTGTGTTATTTTTCATTTTTAAGAACTCTCTGTGTCCTGCAAACTGTACCAGACCACCACTAAGGACTTTCCTGCTGGGAAACATCATGTTGTTCTTTACAACAATAATTAAATGCTTGAGGTTCATACAAAAACAAAAACAAAAACAACAAAGAGAGGCAGTTCCCATGCTTTTACAGTACCAAGTGCTGTTAGCCACAAGAGAGGGGAGGAAAAAAAAGAAACCTGTGATTTGCTGCAGTATCAAAATTAGACCAACGTCCATCACTATGATGACAAGGCTAACAAGTTCAAAATGCTACAAGGGCAGTGCCTGAACATCATGAAGTGTGTGTAAGAGAGAGAGTGAGAGACAGAGAGAGGCAGAGAGAGTTTGTGGGAAATGCTGTGAGAAAAGAGCATCGGAGCTGTTCTATAAGGAAAAAAGCTGCATTATCCAGCAGCGTGTCAGGCATTTCAAAGAGCTGTGTGACTCAACTAATCACCATCTCTGATTCCTGACACACTATGAGAGTCTTTCTCTCTCACTCTCTCTCGCTCTCTCTCTCTCACACACACACACGCACGCACGCGCACACACACACACACACACCATTATCTCATGGTCTCTAGAGGTATGAGCAAGAGGGAAAGGATGGGTACCAACCTCCTCAAAGGCTCTACAAATATTGAATGTCACTATTCATAAAACACACACACGCACATGCACACACACACACACACACACACACACACACACACACACACACACTCAGAGCTGTGCCCTAAACCTTAGCTCGTGTTACACTGAAGACTTTTTGTTATCTGTACAAATTAGTTTCAGTGGCATTATGGGAAAGGAAGAGACTGTGGACACAAACACATACAACCTTCTCACCCTGAATCAGTTAGATTCTCATGTTTTACCCACACAATGAAGTTATGTGAATACATTATGACCACCAAACCCAATGACCAATACACATGTGCTCATACACACTACTCAAGTACGCCAAAGAAAAAGCAAACCAAACGGAGTAATGAAGAAAAAACAAGATCAGGAATATAAGAAATTTCTGCAAATCAGCTTTCAATCAGACTCTGCAACCATTCTTTTCCACAGGACTTCATTCACACACTGCCGCTTCACACATCACACATTCACATCACAGCCATGTTAATAACCAGCACAAAGAAGTCCACTCTACCTTAAACTCCTGCAGCTGCTGTTTGATCATCTCCACCTCTGTGCCGACCATACCCTGTGCATTCAGCCCATCTTCGGCTCTTCCCAGCAGGCCTTGCAGCTCACCCACTAGCCTGTAGAACTCCCGAACCCTCTCAGCAGCGTCCTCGATCTGGTCCAACCTGGCCTGGCCGCGCTCGCTCAGCTGCATAACAGGGGGAAAAAAAAGGAATCGTGACCGGATGAAAGCAGTTTAACATTCACACAAATAAAGTTAACAACTGCACTTAACGACCCTTCCATTATCATCAGCATCTTCATCGTTCCTCACCTTGCCAGCCTGGCGGCTCAAAGCCTCCGTCTCTCTTCTGAGAGCCAGGAGATCAGGGGAGGAGCCTTCCCGCCGCAGCATGGTGGTGCACTCTGTTGTGTGACCCTCCAGCTCTGACCTGAGGTTGGCCAGACGGGACAAGAAGCCCTTTAGGGCATCAGCCTGAGAGGCCAAGGAATCTGCATCACGTCCAACGGGGCTGAGGGAGTCCAGTTCATCATCGAGGTCGGCAATGCGTGAGAAGACGTCGCGCACGTGAGACTGGACCTCGCCGACACCCTGCAGCCGGGACTCCAGGGAGGAGCAACACTGCTCGATCTGATAGAGTAAAACAGCATGGAGAGGTGGACACAAGGTGTTAGGAGAAAAAAAATACAACACTAATGTCTGTCTCTACTCATTGCAGTATTTCTGGCATAGAAAACCTTTTATTCAAGGTGTCAGACCCAATTAGAAAAAATAAGAAAAAACACTAAAACGACAACATGGTGAGGTGGAAGATGAAGACTTTTTAGAGGATTCTGAACACAAACAACACCATAATATACAGTATTAAATCTGAAATTATGAACAAACAGGTTGACTTTTAGGACTCCAACTGGAATGTTTTTGCACAATTTTGTCACAAAATGGAGTTCAGTGTGGATAAAGGACAAGGATAACATGTCTGTGACACAAAAAGATTACCTAATCAAACCAGAGGAGCCTCTGTGATAATATTTTCCAGGTCAAAACTGAACAAATCACTGGAACAGAATAATGTGTAACCAAACCAGAAAATGATGCAACACAACAGCATGTAAAAATAGATTCTGTCTGTGGAGGTGCAAGAAAGAGACAGTAGAAGTATTATCTAAGAGTACAGTAGGCTGATTTGCATCATCTCTAACAGCACAGCAACTCTTTTCCTACCAACAACGACATCACATCAATATTTAAAAAAAAAAATTAAACATCTCAGTGAGTAACAGTGCAGCTGAATGGTTTTATATACAGTCAGAGATCCTGCGATAGCTGCAACCTTAAATGGAATATTTGGAAGCTGGATTGCAGAAAATAGATGCAACAGTGTGGGTGCTGAATTCTCGAAGCTCCGGTTTACATTTCAAACTGTGATAAAGTGCTGAATGTCCACAGTGACCATATATGACGACTGTAAGTCAAATAGCAAAACTCTTCTGACAGCTATAGTTGTTCTGCTCTCTCTCAGCTCACTGACACTTGTCTGCTAAGCACCCACACACCCTCACACACACTGGATCTTACACCCTCACACACTGTGACCCTTGGTATAAATAATTTAACTTCTTTTCACAGCAGACGGCATCATTTGCTGAGGATACATGAATTCATGACTGTTGTGATTCCTTTCATCCCTCTGCTCTCCTTGTGTTCTGCTGTTTTTCCACAGCTACCTGCTGGGCAGAGGACTCACTGCACTGCTTTAATATCTGGGTCATGTATATTTTGGACATCCCTTAGCTTTTATTGGCGATCTCTGATTAGATTTGGGAAAGTTAAATACAGTGTTGAGTGCTGACACTAAGCTACAAAGAACTACCACTACTTCCTGTCATCAATGCACAGTGCAATGTGTCAGAACTTGAACTGAACATCCAGGAACTTAAAACATAAACATGTGTCCTAACAGAATGATTACTGTTAAGAAAAAAAATCTTACTATATGCTATTATTGTCTGCAGATGTAATTGTTTGAGGCACATTTTATTTGCCCAGTGATCACTATCTAAACCTGGATCATTTACAAAAACAACAAACACAGTTCCCCTTTGTTCTCTGTTCCTGTTTATGACTCTGCTCCTTACCTTGTCAGTCACATCCTCAAACTCCTTCTCTGTCTCTCTGGCCTGCTCCTGAAGCCTCTGTGCCCCTTCGGTGCTGCCTCCTGGTGTCTGGGGTGCGTCCTGTACCAGCCCCTGTGCCAGGTCTCTGAGGTACACCACCTGAGGATTCAGAGACCTGAGACTCTCCTGCTGGCTTCTCAGCCGCTCCAGGCTCTTGGCACTACATGCCTGAGTGAGAGAGAAGTAAACATGCCAAAGCCTAAATTAAGTCTTGATGATGACATTGTCTTCTTCTGTTTTGCACTGTTTTATAGAACAGTAAAAGCGACATCAGGACAATGAACAATGTTTTTCAGTACCTGTGGTCCCAGAGCCTCCTGGACTTCAATCTGGTGCTTGGCAGCCTCCAGCCTCCTCTCTGCTGCCTGTCTGCCCTCCTCAAACTCCTTCAGGCGGCCAGAAAGCTCCTCCAGCTGGGCAGTGCGGTTGTGGAGCCTCTCGCCCAGTCCATCCACCCTGCGGTTCAGCTGGGCCTTCTCATCTCGTATCTACAGAAAATGAGTTTACATTACATCCGTTTAGTTTCTTCATTTACTTAATTTATGACTTTTAAAGCACTAACAACACTAATGAGTTGGGATGTTGGGATTAACCTGTGTTGCCATAAGCACTGTTACATAACGTCATGGTTTCATGACTGTAAAAATTTTAGAACCCACTTTGTAATGTTCCAACAAATTCAAAATGCCCATCCACCCCTGAATGCTCAAGTCAAGGAAAAAAGAAGAAAACATAACTGTGTTCAACAATGTGTTACTGTTCACTTTTAAAATCTCGCTGGATGTTGGCAGTCGTTTTTCTCTCATTATCTGTAGCCTACGTTCTGTATATCTATTCCCATTCAACCAAAACACAACACACTTAAGAGAAATCAAAATCAGTAAAACTATGCACCTCTTCCTCCCCAATGCAGCATTGTTCCAGCAGCTGATCTGCGGCAGTGTTGAAGGCCTCAAGGAGAGGTTGTCGTCTCTCGAGGTCCAGCGATAGCCCTCGGGCCTTCTGCAAGGCTTCATCCAGGGCCGATGAGTCCAGTGACGGCTGGATCTCTCCATCTTTTTCCTCGCACTCTGCTATCCATGGTTTCAGCTCAGCCTTGTGCTGCTGGTAGGTTTCTGCTTTGCTCAAAGTGGTCTTCAGTCTGCCTTCTTGATCTGAGAGCCTCTGGTTCAGCCCCTCCCAGTCCTGCTTCAAGGACCCTAAGCGAGACTGCAGGGCAGTGCGTTCATCTCCGCCTGCGGGTAGACTGGCGAGCAGCGATGCTCCCTCAGCTTGAAGCAGCTCATAGGAGCCCCGCTGACTGGCGATCCCTCGCTGGAGGTCGTCCGTCTGTGCCAGCAGGGAGCGGATGGCCTCCGGCTGACAGGGTAGTGAGTCGATGGATGATTCTCTGGGATCTGCCTGCTTGTCGAGCCAGGAGCGCAACTCCTCAAACATCTGCTGGAACTGCTGGGTGGACGACAGGGCGGCCTGGAGCTGAGACAGACCGTCAGCTAGAGGAAAGAAAAGCACAGGGGATTACAAACATAAACACTGAAAAACAATTTCAAACAAAAAGGACTTTTTGTTTTGTTTATTTTATTGGATTTGTTGAGTCGTGTTTCTTGTAACCAAAACAATGCTCCCATTATGGCTAAAGAGGGATTAAGTTTGAAAGGAAATATTGTTCGACTGCATCAAAACTTAACTGATTAAGTCATCAAAGTGGACCATTATCTCTGTGTAGAAAATCACTATCAATAAATAAGTCAAGTAGAAACATACCAGGCACTTACAGAAGTCATATTTAGACTCACTGAAAGCACACTTGCTTTATCAACCACATAAAGTCCACAAACCTGCACGCTCCTCTAAACTCTTTAAAGGCCCGCTGACGCTCTCCAGTCGTTTACTCAGCTCTTCCTTCAGGTAGGGTTCAGCCACGATGGCGCTCAGCTCCTTGCAGAGCTTTTCAGCCTCGGCCAGCTCGGTCCGCCGTCTCTCCAGCTCTGAGCGGATCTCTCCGGTTTCCTGCAGGCGGCGTTTCAACGCTTCGGGCTGGGCGCTCAGCGAGGCCTGACCATCTAATCTCTCACCCAGAGCAGAAACACTGGAGGAGAGCTCTCTGAGCAAGGCCTGGGCAAGAGAGGAGGGTAACAACATTATACCATCATAGTGACAGTGTAACATGACAGCATATACACCAATCTGACTAGACGTACCTGGTACCGCTCGCTGGTTCCTTGAGCCTGGTCGATGTGGTTTGACCTCTGAGTCAGTCGGTTTGTTAGCTCCTCCCACTGCTGGGAGATGGAGGCCAGCTCAGATCGCACCTCTGCCAGGTCTTTAGGGTCCTGAGCAGAGTCACCAGTCTGGGAGAGGATTCCCTCAGCGGACTGGGTCAGCTGGTCAAACTGTGGCCGTCTGGTCTCAAACTCACGCAGCATGAACTTAACAAAGACGAGAGAGAGGACATTATTCAGTGATACGATCAGGAATTAAAATATCAGGTTTCATGAAAAATAGAATCTCATAAGGGAACAAAAAAAAGAAAGAAGCTGTGTTTAAAGCAAATGAAAGCCTGAGGAAAACTTGGGGAAAAATCTAAATTGGAGATTAAATGAAAAATACCTTTTTAACCCTTTCAGATTACATCTCTGCCCATCTCTGTTTTCTTTGATGTATTTCCACTCATGCTGGATTTTCTGTATCGATTACCATTATTGTGTGAGTGCGTGTATTTATAACTGTTCCTTGTGGTGTTATCTCTGTGGTTCTGTCGTCTACATACCTGTGCTTGTTGTTTCTGTGTGTTGAGCATGTTGGGGTCGATGCTCAGCGGTCCGAGCACACTCATCATCAGCTCCTTCTCCCTCAGCCACGGGCCCAGCTGATTGGCCGCCGAGGCAAAGCTGCCCAGCCTATCGGCACACGTCTCCAGCTCAGTCTGCCTCTGGGCTGCCGTCTGATTGGCTGTCTGCCAGCGGGAGTCTGGGGAATTAACCAATCGAGGCAGAAGTGAGAGATGCAGAATGTTGATGGATGTGTTTATATATTTCAGGGGCAGGTTGTCAAATAGCATATTCATTGTTACACGTTTTCTGTCTGGTTTCCTTCCTTTTATGATTAAGTTGTACAACATGAAAGTCCGATTACAGTACAGTGTAAAAATTAGTGTAATCAGAAATCATATCAGTGATGCTGATGAAACCAAACCTAACTCATTGTGAAGAAAACTGACAAAACAATTAGACATTTTCTTCTTTTGTCTCTCCTCCTACTTCTTCTGTCCCCTTCTTCTTCTCTGACTCATGTTCTGGGCATCCATCAGAGAGTGTGTGTGTGTGTGTGTGTGTGTGTGTGTGTGTGTGTATTCAGTCCACATGGCTTTGAAAAGGCATTATGAAATATGAAATATATAAAGGCCCCCTTCTTGGATTTCACCTTAAATATTTCTGTCTCGGCCCTGGTAAAAATATCAAGTATGAGAGTGAACAAATAGCTTTGACAGGAACACTTCCCACTCTCTCCCTGGATAGTATTGATTCCTCAGTTTCTCGCCATCTCTTAGAAAAATTATTACAAATTCTGAAGCACTGTTCCACCTTCCTTTACACAGTTCTTGAAAAACACACCACAGTAGAAATGCCTAATCTGGTTTCCTTTTCTAGTTATGAACAACACTTCATTCTTAACACTAACAAAACGCAGTAGCATCTCACTGAGCTGAGGAGAAGGTTAATCAAAATTAATTTAAGTGGTAGGTTTAGTGGTCTCAAGATCACATAGTTTTTTTTATAGTATTATTCTCTTATAGTTTGGTTAATTTATTATGGGGTGTGTGCAATATTTCGCCTGAAGTTTTGTGTCCATGTCATGGGATTTCATGCTGTCCCCTGTACATTGTTGTCCTGTGGTGATCTGTTGTCATGTATTAAATATCTTGTAGCTGTGTGTAGCACTTTTTTGCCCAGGACATATTTCCTTAAGGACAATTGAGTTTATCTTATCTTAACACCCCTTTCTTTTGAAACTGAGAAAAAATGAGAGGGTTGACATGGGCAAAATAAGATGTGTCCTTCAATGTCATATACTGTAGGGCTGCGTACTTCATTTAAAACCCATCATGAGAAGTGAAGCATTCTGTCGGTAAAATGCCACGAGTGTGTAGTGTAGCCTTTCTTTTGAACATTTTGATGGCATCTCGGTGCAACGAACTGCCAACTCTGTCAAATATAATGCACTTGACTCATCACACCACAGAGTGTGTGGGTTGCCATAGTGGGCCAATCACACATTGCATTATATCAAAGTACCCTTGTGGTGATTGGCTGTGAGCATACCATACAAAGTCATTTGTACAAAAAGGATCAGACGCAGATATCCTTTGATTGGAGAAGTTTTGATACAACTTGGTACTGGGTGATTTCATTCAATACCTTAAAGGTATCAAGTAAACATACCCAGGTTACATCTTTTAGGCACATACAGTACAGTCCATTCTTTCCAGTGTTTACATATTGTTCATATTGTAGTCTTAATGAGGCTCTATGTAAAATTCAGAGCGTACAAATGGACACTGGACAATGTTCTTTACACAGAGGTGGCTGAGCAAATGGGTAGTAGCTCATAGTGCTAACTCCATAAACAGCACTTCACAGAGGTAACTGTTGAATGTTAACCAGTTGGGAACTGGAGAGTGGGTGCTATGCCTATGCAATGACACCATCCTGATATCTGTGGCGGTAACTGCAGAATAAGCACAGTGCAGAGTGGCGGCCGTGGGCTAGTCAGTGGGCTTCATGCATGCACTAACATGCATGCAAGGCCTAGGCTAGCTTACTACAACAAACTATGGACTCCCTGTACTCTGTGCTATAGGAACCTGCACAGTATTTCTATAGCCAGCTGCAGTACAGTATATCCAGTAGCTGTTACATCCATCATTGTTCTTTGGTCTTTCCCTTTGGGCATCTGCAGTAGTTGAGGCAGAGCTCTAATCTATCTAGTTTATGTAAAATGGCTGTCCCGTCATCTTGTCATATGCCCTCATGTATTTTTGTCATCTGCAGCACCTACCTATCTCTTGCAGCTGTTGTCTCCAGGTGTCTGCCTCGGGAGAATCAGGATTGTCAGCAATCAGTTTTCTCAGTGTGCTCTTCAGCTCCTCAACCTTCCCAGAGTGCTCAGCCAGCTCTGAAAGCAGAGCCTAAAAGGAGAAAGGGAGGAAGACCATGACAGAGGCTTAATGCAGAAACTTAAAAATACCAGCAAAACAAACAGGAACAAAACAGTGTTAAAAGAGGGCAAAGGCCATCATGCCCTTTCTTCTTTTAGTTCTTACCTTGTTCTCCTGGGCCTGGGCGCGTACCACCTCAGGTTTGGAGGGCGAGGCGGTCTGTCCCTGTTTCAGGCTGTGCTCTCTGTCTGTCAGCCAGCTCTTGAGCTCATCGGTGCCCTGCCTGGCCTTCTGCCTCAGCTCCAGTGAGGCCTTCTGCCGACCGAGACGCTCCTTCAGCTCCCCACCCAGCGTGTCGTATCGACTGTTCACATCGGATACAGCTACCTGGAGCTCTGTCAAGTCTGAGGGCACAATAAGAGAAAGTCGCTTATAGCCTACAGCAAATTGGAGGAGTGATTATCAGCAGGGCAGATAGAGAAAATAAAAAATAGACAAGTAAATAAAATAAACAGATTTATATCTAGTAAAGTAGGCTAACAGGGAATACAGTTGTTAGCAAACAGGAGTGTAGTTCAGGTTGATCAGGACAGTCTAAATAAAGGGCGATCCTGATGTTGTGGTAATGTGTTTTTTTAACTGAACATATTTGCAACTGACAGATGTTAAGCATACAGACAGCTGACAGGAGACAGGACACTGGAAACAGTTAAACAGAAAATGGTGCAGTAATTTCTCATTCCTTTCAGGATCTTTTTTTGTCATCACACTGACAGAAATAGGCTTCCATACAATGCAATTAGTGTTAAAATGTATCCTAATAAATTAAAAGAGAGAGGGAGAGAGAGCCATGGAGAGAGAGAGAAAGCTCACCTTTACAGGTGTGAATGCCATTGACACTGCTGGGACCTGCTGAGCCATTGATTTGAGGAGCACCTGGGAGAAAGACACACACCTGACTGAGACAGTGGCACTACAACACAATGATGCAAGCATGGTCACGCACAAAACAGGACCTGTGATTTACCGACAAATAAAATCCTGACAAAAAACTCTCTACAGCACCAGGGAGCCTCACAAATACTTCAGAGGAGGACGCTGCACAAAAGCCACAGACGACAGCAGTGAGAAAGACATGGAGGATACCCATTGTCTTTACACAACACAGAGGTGTAATGGACGCGTCAAAAAGAAACACTCATACATCATTTTATGTAATATCTAAAATTTTAATCCATGCTATCCACATTTGCTGTGGTCTGCTCTCTGATTCAATCAGAAAGGCATTTTTCTGCCTCCCTAAAATGTTACTTTTGTCATTATTGATATGTCCACAAAAAAAAAAAAACACAAGCAGTTTCAACCATGAAATTATTTACATAACAATTACTAATCTAGTCTCTAGTCTCCCCCATTACTGACTCCTGAACAATTTCAAAACATGCAGGTAAAAACAGTGTTTTGGATTTGTGATGCACATCCGCATTTCTTTGCTTAAACCTGTCATCACAGACTGGCTGAACTAAGAACAAATTACCATAACAGAAATGATTATAAAGTGCCCTGTACTGCCCTCTCTCCTGCTCCCCTGTGTTTATTTTTCAGTTTTGTGTTCCTCTAAGGTCAAATAATTATATAAAATCCTTGGTGACTTTATTTCCTTCCACCTACAGGATCTGTGGCTCCCACCTAAATCACTTGCAAAAATGCTCTCATGAGGACAGTAAGTCATTTAAACTGAGGAAGGAGTGAGAGAATGGATGTGTTTGGTTGCATTTCCATCCTTTTTCTTACCAGTTTTGGTCTGAGGAGCAGTGATATCGATAATGAGGGACTCCAGCTCTGAGCCTGTCTTGTTCAGCTCCTGAACTCTTGATCCCTGTGACTCCCAGTCATTCAGCAAGTCCTGCAGGCAAAATGCATTTTGCTGAGTCACTGAACTTTAAGAGCTCATGATATAGTCGCATGATTCAGACAGCACATTCCCTTTATGTTTTCTTCATATTTATGTAAAGAAAAAAACAGTGGATGCAGGGGCTTTGATTCATTTTGTGTATAAATTATTACACACACACACACACACACACACACACACACACCTTGAGCTGCTGCACTCTCCTCTGCAGGCCCTCTGTGTTGAGGCTGGCCTCCTTGGACGGCAGCTGGTCCTGTGCCGTCTGAAGCCACCTGAGGAGGGAGCCAGAGAGGCCGCGGAACTGGACCAGCTGCTGCTCACAGGCCTGGATGGCAGCAAACCTGTGATAGGGAAACAGAGGAAGACGGGGGAGGAAGAGGATGGTATGAAAGAACAGCAACAGAGCACACAGAGCAATGATAGAGAAGGTGAAGAAGAGATGCATGAAGGAGGAACAAAGATTCATACTAAAAGGACACTTTAGATCTTCTGAAGTGGGGTTGTATGAGATACTTATCCACAGTCATATCCACAGTGTATAACCTACATTAGATGTCAGTCAGTACACTCCCAGTTTGGAGAAGCAGGCAGGAGTACCGACACAGAAGCTAAGCTATGAACTGCTGTGGACAAGGGCAGCAGCAAAATGTATTTCAGCAATTAAACTGATTTAGACTTTGTTAAGGTGGGCCTTTTTTAGGGTGGCTTAAATATGTTTTGGTGCTGCCCATACTCAATGCAGTACATTGCTTAGCTGACTGCCATCTACTGTATGAAATACACTGACTATAGATAAGTATTTCATATAACCCCATTTTGACAGATTATCTCCCCCCAAACTGCTTCATATTACATTAAATAAAAAGAATATGCAAAGCATTATCTGACAGGGGGAATTCAAAGTCCACACTGGCCAATATTAACGCAGCCTTGATCTCCCTCTCGTTGTATGAGATCTGTGTCAAGCTATGCCTGGAAAAGTGCTGACTGCCCATAGACAAAACAGCTCTGAGAAGTCGGCTGGCATGGACCAGTATCATTATCATGCTGCTATTTTCTCCCCCCCGGGATTCAAGGCTGGGAGTCATCTGAGTAGGCCGTTTATAGGACGGACAATGAGCCATGTCCACTCTGCTTATATTAGCACCCAAGCCTGCTCATCAGCTCACACTGGCCGCACAGATACAGAAGACACACACACAAACACACTGTACAGTAACCAACTGCTGAGAAACATCATGCAAATAATCCCCAACATCATGTACTGTGTGTCAATCTACTGACACCCATGTTTTAGACTGTAGATGAGTGATCACATTCTTTATATCTTAACAGCTGATCACGACATATAAAACTATGTCTAAATTGGTTGGTTTTTATGTGACAGCCTGACCAAACTCAAGTATAATCCAATAATTCTGCACCAGACTGATGGTACAGTATTTATAAATCCTACCAGCCCCCCTTCTGACAGGCTTCAAGTGTGGCTGCAACGACGTCAGACAGGGTAGGCATAGCAACTGGTGCTCCGTGAAGGCTACAAATTTAGAAAACAAATTTTGGAGATGCCAGCGGCATAGTCTGTTCCGCAGAGCCTGTCACAGTGTTTTTATATATAAGTAGGCCTATCATATCTAATTAATCTTAATTTTCAAGTTTGACTCCTTCTGTCTGTAGAGGTTATCTGATTTGTTGTCGTACAAAGTCATATTTCAACATCAAAAACTATAAAGCTGAATGATTCTGCACAGCTTTGTATTTGGTACCCCCTTGTGTCATTTATGGTACATTGTGGAAATTATAAATAAGGATTTTATAAGATTTCAGCTGTTCAAATATTTCGTTTTTAATATCACTCCTAGTTTTATATGTTCCCTTAATAGATACAAATATTTCCTACTGAAGCAAACATGTCAAAGACCTGAACATTGATTTGCAATTATGTTTTGCTGTTCACCAGGACAAAAACATCCCCTCTAAAGCCATAAATATTGAAGACTGATTGTTACGCCGTCACATTTATGGCTGCATAAATTCAAAAAGGCACTTCTCACATGTTATCTGCAAACATTTTTACCTTTCACTGACACTGGCTTCTAGTTGGGTGAACTCATCAGACACTCCTTTGACATTATCCAATAGGCTTTGAGTGTTACTGAAAGCTTTTGATTGGCTGAGCTCGGTGCCGAGGTTACAGAAGGATTTCAGCTGGCCAGCCTCCTGCTCCAGCTCCGACCTGACCTCCTGAGAAAAGACGCATAGGACAGAAGTGTTGAATAGTCTGACAGTATAACTAATCCATTGACGCCTCAGAGGCTTTAGAGGTCTTAAAACCTTGAAATTATGTAACTCAAATGAGACCATACAGCAGATGACCTATTTATGACAATTTGACACCCCTGCTGACCTCAATGGTCTGCCTGTAGTCATCAACGCTGCGGTCTGGCTGGCCTGCTGGGCTCAGAGCCTTCAGTCTGCTCTGGGTGAAGACCTGGAGGTCAGTCCCCAGCCGCTCGTAGCTCTCCAGCCTGGGCAGCAGCCCTTTGAGCTCAGCCTCCCTCTCGGCCTGGCTAGTCTGTGCTGCAGCGTAGCGTTGTGTTAGTTCATCTAAAGCGCCCTGGAGGCCCGAGGCCGTGGAGGCGTCAGAGCTCTGAAGGAGTTTGAAAACAGAGTCTCGCGTTGCTTCCACGCTGCCCTGCCTGGACAGCAGCTCCTGGCGAAGTTTCTGGGGAAAAATAATGAGATGTTAGGTTGAAAAAAATTGAGAATCTGCAACATTTTTATTCATGGATGTGACAATCAAATATGTGACATCATTCTCTGCGCTGAGGAGTTTCCTCTGGGTTTACTCCTACCTGGTTTTGTGTCAAAGCATCTTGTACAGCATGTGCGGTGGGCTCAATTGGTCCAGGACTCAGAGCCAGTTTGTCCAGCCAGCTCAGCAGACCCTTCAGGCCCTCCTGGACGCTGACCGACTGGGCCACAGCTGTCTGCAGCTGCTCGGCCCGTTCTGACACAGATGCAGAGAGGGAGCCAAACCTCTTCTCTAAACCATCTGAACAGCAGGAAAGGGCAAAATAAAAACGTCACCTTTTTAATTCACTCATTTTATTGTTACATCCATTCGTTAAGATTTACTGACTTCTGTGATTGAGACTACGTGGGACAGAATGAGTCAAGTTACCTGCGGCACATAGGATATCGACAGCTTTCAAGGAAGGAGACTCATCTGTGCTGACCAGTTCTCTTCCTGCTCTCTTCACCTTCTCCAGCTGCACCGAGCGTTCAGCCAGCTCGTCCTGCAGCAGCTGAGGACAGAGGACACACTTACAGTCAAAATAAAATCATTTCTATAGCCGAGAAGGAATTTGAAATCCAAGACAAAGTTCCCACATACTTTCCATTTTAGTATTTTTTTTCCCAGATGTTGATTTTATGAATGAACTTTAATTTTTTGGTCAGTACTCAACATAATTTAGCGGTTGGAAAAGATGACTGTTGACAAGCCCAGATCATGAACAACATTTTTCCAAACTCTGCGCTCTTTTTCTGCCTTCTCCCTCACTCTATTTTGTTTATGTTGCTGTTTGTAATGTGTGCCTCACCTGTACTTGTCGTAATGTGTTCTGCAGGTTCTGCGGGTCTGTCTCCCCACTGGGCTTGGCTATACTTTGGTTCTGTTCCTGAGTGCTGAGCCAAGAGTGGACGGAGACAACCTCATCCTGGTACTGCTGGTACCTCTCCAACAGGCTGGATAAACGGCCACCCAAATCGGTTGACTGCACATGCCAACAAAATTTCAATGAATGTGTAAATTCAAGATAAGGTCTCAGAACAATTTCATTGAGCGCAATATATAACAGTTTCTAGTTCTGCCTCACCTTGGTGTGTAGGGTTGTGTATCTGTGGTTAGCATCCTGCAGCTTGTCAGTCACCAGCTGCTTGGTGCTCTCCAGAGCTGGGTCTGAATCACCAACTTGCTCCAGAGCTCCTTGAACAGAGTCCAGAACCTTCTGACCAGAGATGGAGACAAATCGCAGGTCCGCCTTGTGGCAAATGATGTCCTCAGCAAGCTGGAAATACAGACATGTTTACAGGTCACTTGGAGACAAATTCATGCAGATGCATCATCTATCGGAAAAATGTAATGTTCATGAAGATGTTAATGGAAAGCATGATCAGGACCAGCAGGTCTATAGTTCAAATTTCCAGAATGGATGGGAAAGGATATGATACACTGCAAATGTGATATCAAGGGACTTTTAACAATAACAAAATTATCCTGAACTGCTTCAGTGGAGTTTCTCAGGGGCTCCCAGATGAGAATGTGTGATTGTGTGAGTGTAAATCAGGGCACGTTAGGGTGCATGGATGGATGGAAACTGAGAGTGGAAACTCAGTCTTCCGTGGATAATTAAAGGTCAAAAAAAGCATAGTTGGGCAGTATGTGTTTTTACTCAGCTGCACTGGGCCCAGATGCAGTGAGTGACATTTCTCTGCAAAATCACTTCACTTCAAAGCACCTGAAACCAGATGCAGCCATTATTATCCAACTGCAGAGCCGAAGTGCCAGCACATTCAGACTTGCTGTTACAGAGCAATCTGCCCCATCTACAGGCAAGCAAGGTAACAGCAGCAGTTTGAACCTGCCAGTGTAGACCATAGACTAAAAATACAGGACATAGTCACCGTGACATCACCAATTGGTCTGTGGACTCTGGTTTTAAAGCTTTGAGTTTGGCATTTTGGCCATCATCATTGCTGTGCATTTTAACATGGGGGTCTATGGGGACTGACAGTGTTCCAGGAGTGTGCTCCTAGTTTCTCCAGTGAGGGGTGAAAAGGTTCCAACCAAATTGTGAATGCCTCGACATGCTGCTATCTGCTGGTTTAAAGTACTGCTGCTCATGCCTCCCTGTAGGTATCATAGGTTGTGTAAAATTGGGTCTTGTGTGATTCAACAGCTCCCTCTTGTGGAGAATCTGCAGCATGTTAAATGGAACTCAAACTCACATTTGTGATTGTCTGAGTTTGTGAGTAAGTTATCATGCAGTTCCATGAGGAGCTCCACATTTTAATATCAAAAAAGTGAATAAATAACAAAAAACAAGACACAGAGGAATTTGCATTATGTCATTTAGGTGTGTATGTGCACCTTTCTGTGCTCCTCCAGCCTGTTCTTCAGTCCTTGTGCATCAGTTTCTCCTTCCCCTAGAGAACAGAGCTCCTGTTCACTTTGTTCTAACCAGGCACCTAAACTTCCATGTTCTTGGTGGAACTTCGTCAGCTCATCCTTCAGAGCCTCAGACTTCCTCAGACGATCCTAGAGGAAATAGTTACAGCAGTAACAGTTAATTAACTATAACAAAAAAAATTGACATATCATTACTGTAACCCCATCAATTTGCAATGAGATGAAGGTCCACATATCACATATCAAGAGACATGCACATCAGTATTTATTTTGATACCTGGCAGCTCTGCAGTCTGTCCTGGTGCTGAGCCTGCAGCTGATCCAGGGCGGCCCTGAGACGCTGCTTCTCTTCAGGAGGAACGGTGGAGTCTGGTTGGTCCAGAAGGGAGCGAGTTGACTGCGTGATCTGGAGAAGCTGGGCCTGTTGAGCCTGGAGCTGCTGAAGCTCCGCCTGGGAGAGAGGTCAGGTTATGGGTCATAATAATTTGGTAATGTTACAAAATGTTTAACTCAAAATGTGCTACACAGAGAGTAGAGAGTCAAACCTGCAGGTTCTCTGTGTGTGTAATCACAGCACCCTCTGGCTGTGAGAACGGTGTATCAGTAAAATCTTTGGCCAATCCAGATCTATCTCCTCTTGCACCTGGTTGGTTAAGGGAGGACAATTCATTCAGCAGAGAGTCTATCTGGCCTTGGGTCTCCTGGAGCTCCTCCTCAGCCTTCGCCTGGAGGAAAGGAGAGGAAAAGAGGATTAACACAAAAAAGCTACTAGTAGCTTTTGTTCTATATGTTTATCTGTAACAACTCATCTTGTTACCCTTTGTGTGTTCTGCTGTAGAGTGGTGTTGATGGCTGTGTCCAGCTCCGACAGTGATGTGTTTGCTGACTGTTTAAGGGCACTGTACTGCTCCTTCATTCTTGTTAGGGCCTCCTGGAGGTTCTGCCTCTCTTCTGGGCTTAGACTTTCTCCTCGCTCTGCCAGGAGCTCCTCTGCAGAGCGGATGGCCTCAGTGATGCCCTGTTCTTTGGTCTGGAGGTCCTTCTGTGCTTCCTGGAGAGCCAAAGAAAATTGATTTAGTCAAAGAACTTCTATCTTTCTCTGTGCTCTTCTGCACAGACAGATTTGAGCTAGCCTCACAACACACGCTGTTTAAGGGGGAGAAGGGGCTTGTTATGGGTTGGCTGTGGTCGCACTTGGAGGTGGATGGGTTCGCTTTTGAGCCAAATCCTGAGAATCTTGGGCATGGCTTGGCACAACAACACAAAAAATGGCAATGGTAACGCGAATTGGTTTGATTTGGTGCTACAAGAAACGGCAATGGAAAAGCCCTATAGGTGGGCTTGAGACAGAGAGGGTGAACAAGGCTTCAGGCAAATAAATGCAGTGAGTTAAAATGTCAATATTATAAAATATAATATATTATAAACAGAACAATAGCCATAATGGTGATGTACGTGTACATATAATCATGCAAAAGAGATTAATCTGGGTGTTTTTATTATTCAGTTCATGTGGCCTTGAGAGTCTAGATGAGGTAGATGAAAGTTTCATACCTTTAGTCTTTTCTGCTTCTCTTGCAAGACGTTCACATCACCTGACTCTGCTCCACCTTTCTGACTGGCCAGCAAGCTGGCAGCTCCAGCCAACCACATGGTAAGGCCTTCTAGTTTCTGAGAGCATTCGGCTTTCTGCTGTTGAACCACCTGCGAGAAATGAATGAGCAGAGAGGGAAGAAAACAGAACCAAAAGAGATACAATGTGAGAAAAACTGAAACTGACTTGAGTCCGTCACAAACAATTTAACTGGATCAAGTGACAGGAAATTTTGCATTTTTTTTCTCTAACCACCAGTTTTGACACTAAGCACACATTTGCTCCTAAACAGAATTCTTGAGGAGTGCACACTTTGCCAAGCTTTGAGCAGGTTGTGTCCAGAGTTCACACACACACACGCATACATGGCAGACATACATATAGTATCTTCACATCAACATGTTGATCAAGCAACAAACAATACAGAGAGAAATCAAACAAATATGTTTATTTGCTGTTTTTCCTCCTTCTCTGCTGTACTCAGGTGAGAGAAGAGGAAAAACAGCTAAGCGTTGTAGCCAGCGAGGCTTTTCTGCTATCAAATCTCTAGCCTTTACCGCCGTGACACAAGCGATTTCCTTCAGAGGCAATCTGGAACAGCAAGGCAAACAGGTTAATAATACACACGTTACTGAGACATGCAGAGTAGCAAACACGCTTGCATAAAAAGCCTGTGTAGTAGGAGTGAGGGTGGTGATACTGTCCATGTCAAGTGGCAAAGCTTTTGCATTGAAAGCAGCAGTGAGTTGATATTAAGCTATGAAATGATGAGAATAAGGTGATGAGGTGGTGAATAATCGCACTACAAGTTAACCTGTGATGGAGAATAGTGTGTTTCAATCAAGCTCTTCCAGTTTCTAGTCTTAAATGGGTTTGAGTATGTGATGTAAGTGCTTATCAGAGCAGTACTATGATCTTGTGGAAGAAAGAATGGCAGTAGTTTACAGCATGCCGAATAAAGCAGTGAAATACAGTATATAAAATCTAGTTGCATTTAACATGTATTGGTAAGAAATAACGCAGCGTTTCAAATCAATCCCACTCAACGTTCTCTTTTTCCAAACCTCTCTCTCCCTTGCACTCTGCCTCTCTTTGTCCTTCTCCTCTTCTTTCACTCTCTCCCTACGTTGCCGCTCCTCCTCTCGCTCTCTCTGGGCAGAGAGGGCATCGGCCCAGGCCTGGGCTTGGCCCGACGCGAGGTGAAAGGCCCTCTGGAGCTGCTGGAGCTGCCCCAGAAGCTGCCTGCTCTGTTCAGGGGCCAGGTCCTGAGCTCGCTCCGAGATAAACACCTGAATGTCAAAGGCCGTGTTGTTGACCTCATTAGAGCGAGCCATCAAAGAGGATTGGAGCTCCTTAAAGAAACAAGAGAGAAAAGGCTACATGAGATATTATTCTATAGCTCTAAAGGTAGTGCAATGAGATGGATACAGTTTCTGAGGCAACAAATCCCAACAATATATCAACTCATGGAGCTCTGAATTACTAAAATTACATGGAGAATTACTAAAAGGAGCAATATTAAAACTGTTTTCTTCAGTTTGGACAACTTGCCTTGCAGAGATTCAGCTGCTGTGTGAGCTGATCATGACTGTCATCTTTTTCTGCTGTCTCCATTTTTTCCATCCCCGCCATTCCTCCATTCATCTGAGCCTCTGTCTCCCTCAACCAAGAGAGCAGACTCTCCACTTGTCCTCCTAGTGATTTCAGCTCAGCTGTTAACGCCTCCTGAGGGAAATGTCAGAGTGATTCAAATCAGACATCACAGAGGATACAAAAGAATTGTCTCCACCCAAATAGGATAATCGATCGAAAAAATCTCTGCTAGTTACTCTAATGAGAATGAGGGTTCCAAGTTGGCCCTATAAGAAATTAACATCTAATAAACATTGCTTCTTGTTTTTTTCTAGACTACTTCTTTTACCTTATAGGAGTCCCTGTGGTCTCGTAGACTTTGCAGAATGCCCTCAGAAAGTGCCCTGGCGGCCTCATACCCTCGAGCCAAGCTCCGCCCGTCCTTTTCCAGGGCCAATAGGAGCTGAGGGGGAACATCTTTGGGTTGGGGCTTCAACAGCTCCTCAGCGGCCTTCACTTCCTTGTTGATTGCAGGCTCCAAGTCACGCAATTCAAGGTCCAGAGTCTGAGAGACAGATTAGGAAAACAAAACAAAAGTTTTCTTGATGCCGTTTGGTATGAAACTAATCCTTAAATCTGCTTTTTTTTCCCCCTCACACTGGGAAACAAATGCACAACTGCAAAAATAATTCAAGAGTCAAAAATGGTACACGGAAGTGGGCTAGCGTCACATTAATAAGACATTACATCACTATCAGGTAAATAAGTAAATTTGTTTACCTCAGTCTGTCTGATGACGTCATCCAAGGCGATAAGGCTCCGGCCAACAGACTGCTGTTGCTGCTGTTTAAGTCGGACCTCAATATGTCTTACCATGGAAACCAGGGCTACAATTTGCTGGTCATGATCCAAGCACTCCTGACGCATCAATGATGACTGTGGGAAAAGAAAAGAAAAAACAAAAAAACAATAAAACATAAAGACATGTGTAGAAATGTCTGCAGCATTAGGGCTGGGCAATATGGCCTATAAATAATATTGCAATATTTTTAGGCTATATCGTGATACATGATATAAATCTTGATATTTTGAAATCTCCTCAAAAATACTGTACATTACTAAAACACTAAATTATTAAATAAACTGCTGCTACAATAAAATAAATTACTGTTATATTAAGTTAAATAAAGTACTGTTATAATAAAGCAAAACAAAGTATTGTTATAATAAAGTTAAGTAAATTACTGTTATAATAGGTTACATGAAGTACTGTCATTATAAATTTAAATAAAGTAGTTATGATAAAATTAAATAACATATTGTTATAAGGTAGTTACAGTTTTGGCACAATAAATAAATCAAAGCGGAACAACTGATGCTTTTATTCTGAACCACCTGGCTTTTTGCTACTTACAAAGGTGCTCCATGGTTGTAATTTATGCCTAATTATTCAAAAATTAGATAACAATGTATATTCAAAGTTTGCAATATAGTAATTTTATAAATATCCCAAGTGGAACAAGCCATGATACATCGAGTATAACTGATATATCAGCCACCCTATGCAGACAGTTTTTCTAAAGAAATCTGTCTTTCACAAATGGTCCACTACATTTTACCTTGCCAGTTGTGGATGTCGTCCCCTCTTTGTTCAACACCATTTCTCGACTCCCTCTGACATCTTCCTCTCGCTCCTCCTCTCCAAAACTCTCAGAGGCTGTATCAGACACAGGGACTCCATGTGATTCAGACTCAGGTGAAGCATCCTCCGACAGTGAAGGTGCTGATTCTGGAGATTCAAGATGTTGCTGTTGGTCTTTTAAAGATTTAGATTTGGCCACACTGGTACTATCAGCTTCAGGAGGTTGGCGCCCCTTCTTCTTTTTACCTTTTCTTGTGGTTTTACCTGGTTGTGTGCCAGGAGCCATGGACTGAGCTGTGGGCTGGATGTCTACTTTGCATGCGACAGCCTCATGAGCAACATCAGTGGATTCGCTGGCATTTCTCTTTTCTGAATGGGATTCTTCTTTGCTAGTAGATGTAACCTCTGCCGACTGTACATGTTCTTCCATGTGAGAAGTGGGTTCTTCTGATCTAGATAAATGTGGAGGACTTTGTTGACTGGTGTCAGCTTCTTTAACCTTAATAACAGAGATCTTAGCATCATATGCCTTTTCACCAACTGAAGGTCTGCTGACATCACCAGCTGATTGACCATCGGTACGTCTGTCCATCCTCTGCTCCTTAGTTAAAGCTGAGTTATCTGAATCTGGTTTTGTCATTGCAGATTTTGTGGTCATTTTTGTTGTTGTTAACTCAGAATCCATTTTTTCATCAGTTGGTAACTCCTCAGTATCAGGCTCAGTTTTGTCTGTCTCTTTTAAACTCTTGGATTTCTTGTTCTTCCTTCTTTTAGTTTCTTGAGGCTGGACTGATGGAGTGGCTTCATAATCTTTTTGTCTGTCTTCCTCACCGAAACTCTTGTTTTCCTCCCTCTGATTTGAAGAAGCCACCAATAGTTTGGTCTCCATGTCCTCCTTCACAGACAGTTTCTCATCAGTCTTCTCTTCCTTGACCCTTGTCAATTTTGTTTTTTCTTCTTTGACACTCATCTCTTCCTTTCTCTCTTTTGGAGAACCATCGGGTGTCTTGACACCATCGTGACTCTCCACTGCATCGGCCATAGCTGGCACAGTTTGTGCCTTTACAGTTGTGCCTCGACTCTCCTTCTTCCCCACTTCCTTGCGCAGTGCCTGCAGCTCTTCAGCAGCCTGCTTCTCACTCACTCCTTTTTTAAACACCTTTTTAAGAATGCTCTCTTTGGCTTTTAGTACCAGGGCTGCTTTCTCATCATCTGGTAGAGTAGATTTCTGTTTCAGTTCTTGCTCCTTCTTTTTCTTTACCTCTTGGCTGCTCTTTGGCTGTTCTGGTTGCTGAGAGACTGAAGCCTTCTCTTTAACTTTCTCTGTCTGCCCCTCCCTTTTCATCTTTTCTCTCTCATCATCCTTTTCTGAGTCCCCTGAAAATGCAATTTTTAATGTATCTTTCTCTGGCTTCATCATTTGTTCTGTAAATTTTAGAGTGACTGGAACTGCTTCTTGTCCTTGTTTTTCCAAATCATTTTCAACCTCAATTGTCTTTTCAATCTTTGTTTCACGTTCTGCATTGGGAAGTCCTGTGGAAGTTGCCTTACCCCCAATCTGGGATTTCTCTTGACTGCTCTTTGGCTGTTCTGGTTGCTGAGAGACGGAAATCTTCTCTTGAACTTTCTCTGTCTGTTCTTCCCTTTTCTTCTTTTCTCTCTCATCATCCTTTTCTGAGTCCTCTGAAAATGCAATTTTTAATGTATCTTTCTCTGGCTTCATCATTTGTTCTGTAAATTTTAGAGTGGCTGGAACTGCTTCTTGTCCTTGTTTTGCCAAATCATTTTCAGCCTCAACTGTCTTTTCAATCTTTGCTTCATGTTCATCATTGGGAGGTCCTGTGGAAGTTGCCTTAACCCGAATCTGTGACTTCTCTTGGCTGCTCTCTGGCTGTTCTGGTTGCTGAGAGACTGAAGCCTTCTCTTTAACTTTCTCCGTCTTCTCGTCCCTTTTCATCTTTTCTCTCTCATCATCCTTTTCTGAGTCCTCTGAAAATGCAATTTTTAATGTATCTTTCTCTGGCTTCATCATTTGTTCTGTAAATTTCAGAGTGGCTGGAACTGGTTCTTGTCCTTGTTTTGCCAAATCATTTTCAGCCTCAACTCTCTTTTCAATCTTTGCTTCACATTCAGCATTGGGAGGTCCTGTGGAAGTTGCCTTACCTCGAATCTGTGACTTCTCTTGGCTGCTCTTTGGCTGTTCTGGTTGCTGAGAGACTGAAGCCTTCTCTTTAACTTTCTCTGTCTGCTCCTCCCTTTTCATCTTTTCTCTCTCATCATCCTTTTCTGAGTCCTCTGAAAATGCAATTTTTAATGTGTCTTTCTCTGGCTTCATCATTTGTTTTGTAAATTTTAGAGTGGCTGGAACTGCTTCTTGTCCTTGTTTTGTCAAATCATTTTCAGCCTCAACTGCCTTTTCAACCTTTGCTACACTTTCTGCATTGGGAGGCCCTGTGTAAGTTGCCTTACCCCGAATCTGTGATTTCTTGTATTTGTCTTGTGATGCAAGCTCATCTTTGACTACATCAGTGGCTTCAGGCTGACCCTTTATGTGTGTATCAGTTTGATCAATTTGAGATAGAAATTGTATCTTTGAAAGATGTGTTCCACTCTCAGCTTCTTTACCCTTTCCGTTCTTTTTATTCTTCCTCTTTTTCTTGCTTTTGCTTTCTGTCTCTTTAGCTGGAGAGGTCAATAACTGATCTGTCTGCTCAGCTTCAGCGCTGGATTTGATCTCAGTCTTTAAAGGTTTCTCTTTCTCCACTCTCTTAACCTTCTCATCTACAACATCACCTCTCTGTGCTGCCACACCACTCTTTCTGTATTCTTCTTCACTCAGTTTTGTCACCTCAGTCCTATCTTTGCTTTCTCTGTCATCTCTTATCTCTGCTGCCACAAAACCTGTCAGGTTTCCATTTTCAGAATCATGATCAACAACTGATCTGCTCCCATCACTGGGTTTATACTCCTTTTCCCCAACGTTTCCTGGTTCTCCATCTGACTTTAAAGCAGCAGCTCCTATTCTGACCACATCATGTGAATCTTTTTCATTATCATAGACATGTGCCTGAACAGATTCTGCAACAGCATCTCTGAAAATGTTCCCCTTCTGTTTATCATCAGTCTCGCTCACACCTATCTGCAGTCTCTCATCAAGCTTCTGCTTTAGAGGGGGTTCTGATTTATTGATGTCTTTCTGTGGTACGATTTCTTCAATAGCTTCTTGAATCCTTTTCCCAACATTAGTGGCAAACTTACACAAGAGGTCTACAGATCTGTCTGGCTCAACTGAAGCCTTTTCTTCCACTGACACAGGCGCTTCTGCTTTGTCCTCTTCTGTAGTGGTGTCATACAAAAGGGACTGATCTGATACGACAGTTGTAAATGTCTTTCCATCATCCTCTGTAATTCCCAAACCTTTCTTTGAAAGTGGTGATCTTGAAGGCACCTCAGTGCTTACATCTGACCAGTTTGCTGGACTGTCTGAGCTTGATGCCAATAATATAATAGCAGGGCTGTATGTGCCATTTGACGAGGCAACAGGTGTAGCACTGCCCTCATCACCCTCCATCTCCACAAAAGACAATTTCTCCTGAATCTCTGAAGCTACTTCATTGGAGATAAGCCCTTTTGCAATCGCATCATCGAGACTAGAGACTTGATCTCCAGTGGCAGGATCAACTAAGCCTCCTTTCAAAAACTGGTTGGTGGCAATTACTCCGACCATATTGTCTTCAACCAAACCTCTTTCACAGGCTTCAGATAGGGGAAGTCTTTCTCCAGTACTGATGTCAATAATCCCTCCACTGTCTGCCTGACTTTGAAGCAACCTCAATGCTGGAACTGGGTCAACTAGCTTTGCCGCAACTGCTTCAGGAAGGGTCAAGTTGTCTCTAGTTTGCTCATCCTGAACACCTCTGAATGGTTTCACCTCTAAGAAGCGTTTGCCTGTTTCGATATCTATCTTACCCTGGTTTACAAGCTCTGAATAAGGCACGATGCGGGCAGTTTCGGGGTCAAGTGCTCCTTGTCTTACAGCAGAAGAAGCCATGGCTTCACTGGCAATATTCTCACCCAGAAGACCCTTAGAAACTGCCTCCATCAATGTCAGTTTACATCCAGAATCAGGGTCTAAAATGGCTCCTGTCGAGGCCTGGAAAACGACAGCTTCTGGGTGGGACGAAGGGCTGACTTTTCCTTGGTAGACCCACTCTAGTTCCTCCAGCCCAGGAGCAATGGACCGATCCACTAGTCCTCTATCTACAGCGTCAGGAACTGACAGCCTCAGCCCTGAAGCATGATGGATTATACCACCCTCAGCCACCTGTTTTGCCAGCACCTGATAAGCCTCCTCAGACTTAATAAACCCTTTCTGAATTGCTTGCTCCAGAGGAACTGGAAACTTGGACTCTGGTTCGATAACACCTTCCATCTGTAGCTGTAAACTCGCCTTAGTGAGGGAAGTCGCTGCATCTGTATCCTTTCCTTTGTATGCCTTTTCTAGTGCTACAAGCTCTTCTCTTTGACCCTCCTCAATCAGTCCCAGGTTTGCTGCTAAAGTGACAGAGACTTTCTTATCTCTGCGTAGGTCAACAATTCCCCCAGACACCACCTGTGCTTCTAGAAGTCGAGCAGCAGTGTTGGGGTCAATCAATCCTGCCTGAGCTGCTTCCCTTACCCCACAGATCTGCCTTTTCTCTACATCCACAACCCCTGAAAGGGTTTTATCCGACTTCAGGACACTCCACATTAGATCTTCATCTAGTAAACCCTCCTGCATAACATCCTCCATGCTCAGTGACTCACAACTGCTGGCATCTAGGAAACCCCCGAACAGACCTGCCTGAGCCATTAATTTAACTGCTGTGTGACCAGGGAGGATACCTTGGGCTACTGCCTCATCTGGGAGCAGCTTTTCCCCTTCCTCTGTCATCAGACCTCCCTGTTTTAGCTCTGTGACTAACTTTGTCAATTCAGCATCCTCCCCTTCTGTCTCCACTGCTGATTCAAGGGTATCAATCTGGGGTTTAGCATGCTTTGGGTCAGTTTCTGTTACAGACACCTTTTGTTTGATCTTTTCTGATTCGGTCTGGGAATACTTTTTATCTTTCCTATCATCAGATTGTGTTGATTTTACATCTTCACCCACTTTGGCTCCCGGTGTGATGGGTTCTTTCAACATTTTGAGTGGTGCCGTAGCTGTTTTTCTATCTACTGTTGTGGCTGTACTTATAGTCTCCTGACCAAAACTATACCTGGGTTTGGACTGAGTACATATCTGCTCATCTAGGCCTTTTGTTAATTCTTCTCCAGGAATTTTATCTGAAGCCACAAAACATTCAAGATTGGATATTTCTTTATTTTGAGCCTTTACTTCCTCAACTTCATCCATACCAATTTCATTTTTAGCTGCAACTGGTACTGATGGTTTGGGAAGCAATTTGTTGTCATTTCCTCCATCATACCTTTCTTTGACACTGCCTGTACCATTCGTCTCAGATTTTTGGTTTGGTGTGACTACACTGCAACTTTGCGCCTCAACCTCAACTTGTTTGTCATTTATTCCTTTATCTGCCAAACTAGACTCTCTCATTATTTGCATCTCCTTCTGCTCATCTTTGTTAAAACTGCTTTGTGGCTCAACTTGACTTCTATTCACAGAGTCTCCAGCAACCAGTTCAGCAGCTTTGACCAGCTCCACCAACTCAGGGTCAAGCAACACCAAACGTTTTCCAGAATGAACATCCACATAACTGTGAGTCATGAGGTGAAACAGTAGTTTGTGTTTTGCTTGTTCTTCAGGATTCATTGTATGTGTTGGTGTTGCATCCCAGTCAAGGCCTGTGGGAGATGATGAAGGTGGTGGAGAGGATGGAGGTGGAGAGGAGCTAGTGGAACCCCAGCTCAAGCGGTTTAGAGATGGGGTACCTGACTGGTTCATGTTGGGAAGAACATCTGGGATGTGGATGTCTTTAAGAAAACTGACTGCACTGGGCTCAAGGGCCTCTTCAGCAGCCACATTTAGGGGAAGCACCTGAAGAGTTTCTGGATTGTACAGAGCTCCAATGGCATGTCGCTGCCTTAGGATGTTCCTTGATAGCTCTCCTGAGATCACTCCTTGTTGAACAGCCTCAACAATTGGCAGGAGTTCTCCAGATTCAGGCCAGAGTATTCCCATAAAAGCCCAAAGGGACTCAAGGGCCAACAGAGCCAAATGAGGAGAGAGAAGATCCCTGCGAATACTCTCTTCCAAATCTAGGCGTTCTCCACTGAAAGGGTCAAGAATTCCCCCATTCTGCAGCTGTCGTGCTAACATGGCACAGGCTAGATCCTGGTCCATAAGCCCATGACGAACAGCCTCATCAATTGTCAGCCGGTGGCCAGACCGCGGGTCAGTGATACCACCAGCAAAGAGCTGAGCTTCAAGAAGTCGTACTGTAACTTTCCGATCAATCAGACCTTCCTGAACTGCGCGGAAGATACCAACTTTTCTTCCTGACCGGAGGCAAACCGTTCCTCCAGGCTGCTGCTTGACGGGGAAGAGAAGTAGACCCGAGTCATCATTGAGGACACAGCGCTGTTGTAGCTCATATAGGTTTAATTTTTCAGCTGTGTTTGGATCAATCAGCTCTCTATGTTGTTGCCTTGACTGGAGTTTGGTGAAGATTCTGGGAGTCAAAAGTTTCATGTCATCTGCTTGCTCCAAACTCAACATTTTTCCTGTTGAGATTCTCAGGCCGCCAGTGTTCATCTGGAGTTCTAAAATACGAAGTCCCTCCTCCTCTCTGATGAGCCCGAACTCCATGGCTGAAGCTACTGGTAACACATTTTGTTGTTGGTCATCTTTAGTATTTTCCACCAGAAGCAAGGCACTCTCTAGCTCAGAAAGGGACTGTCTGGTATGGGTGTCAATAAGGCCTTGAGCTAGTCCTTGTTCCAGTGAAAGATTGCTAGAAGAGTCAGGTTGAAGGAGTCCACCCATAATTAGCTGGGCCTCCAGTAGTACATGGCAGGTGTCCTGGTCAATAAGACCACGTTGGGCTGCTTGGAACACTGGGAATGTTTCCACTGTTCCCAAGTCAATTACTCCAGCAATAGCAATTTGGCTCTAGAAAAAAAAGAAAACAAATTCCAGTTGGCATTCATTCAGGAAACATGAAATATTAATGTAGTTGAGCCAGTTAATGCCTTATGCTATGTTACTATGTTATCAAATCATACTGTTACAGCATATTATGTACAGAATCAGATGGTAGAATCAGAAAAAGAAGAAACCCACAACCAACTGCCACAAAAACATAATATCAAATATAAGTTATCAAACAAACAAACTATAATTGTATTTTGTTGGCATGTTACTTATTGGTATGTGTTATGAATTTGACTGTCC